AATAGAGAAAACACTTGGGTGAAACTATAAGAAAATGAAGATAAAAAGGAAGAAATGCTTTGTGAGGGAGCTGGAACAATATAATATATAGATTAGTGGAATCAGTGAGGTGAGGATGAAGCTGATTGAAGGTTATCATCTCAGGTACACAAACAGGATGGCAGCCTTTGACTGAGAACTCTTGTTCCCTAAAGAGTCACATGGCTGAAGCAACAAGACAATTCTGGCTAAAATAAAGAGGATTCTACCTGAGCACAGATCAGATGCTGCTGTGTGGTTCAGCATCTAATTTCTACAGAAACGAATGTCATACCTTTTATGTAAAACACTGAGCTAGGGAGCCAGTATAATCAACTCAACTGGACCATATCTTGCTACATATTTACCATTGGATTGTGGGATTTTAGTAGTCCATTAAATTTACATTGAAATTTTGAGGACGATATAAAAAATTACTTATTTGGCCAATACTGGAGCTCTGGCACAGCTATAGGCAAATGCCTTAAAATCTACTCTGGCCCATTTGTTACCAAGGGAAGTGCTTGGTGTGTTTTAAAGTCTTTGGTATTGAAGCTGATGCAATGACCAGAAAATAATTTAAACCACATCCTGAACTGAAAAATTGCCTTATGAAGAAAAAAATGCTTTTCTTGTAAACTGCCCAAAATTGATGAAATGACAAACCAATAAAGCAAATCAATAAAGCAATAAATACCATTCACATAACTACTTAATTGTTTGCTTTTCAACATGAGATACTTATATATATGTGTGTATATATATATATATTTAAGCATATAAGAAACTTCCAACATGCTATGCATATTAGTACAATAATTTTGTTGTCTATGTCATATTCCCTTAAAAATTAAATTAAAGGAATAATCTTATGAATTCTAGAAAATTAAGAAAGGCTGTGGAGAGGAAAGGATTTCAGTGAAGTGAGAAGGTGCTAAAAACCCACTATGTTCCAATCAGATATCTAACTGTAATTGGCATACTAGTATCTTGGATATTAGCAATGGATGGTCTCCATGATCTCAGAGGAGGGGGAGGTTTAGTCATGACTCCAGAACTTTTACATGGTATTAATTACTTTTGCCTTCCTTTTTTCCTTTAGGGGAGCTCTTTGCAGTTCCTTCAGTGCTGCTGGTCGTTGTTAGTAAATTTGTTTCCTTTCATCCACCTACCTCCCTGAGACTTAGGCATGTTGTCTGGCTAAAGGTGAACTCGTAGGGAAGAAAGTCCTTTGAGTTGTCTGGCCTCTCCCTGGGGAGAGGATTTCTTATCAGAGATAATGAGCATGGTTTTGAAAAGAGTGGGCATCATTTGCTGTCAGTTTGAGCATTGGACTTCACTTTTATATGTCATGGTGCTGCTGACATTGCAAAGTTAGGTAGTGCTCTCTTTTCACCCACTCCAGGTAGTTCCAAGCTTCCTGTGTCCTTAAATGTGTGTTCCTCGGTCATAAAGTGAAAACCTTCTTTGTATTTAACCCATTTATACTAGAAAGGGGAATGTCAGCTGGGCCAGCTTTCACAGTGTTTAATTTAGCGAGCCTGCAAAGAGTTTACAGCAGGTTGTCCATTTCAGTAGTCTCTGTGAGAGTGGAAACAGGAACCTGAGCAACTTCATTCTGATGTGGTGAGAGCCTCAGCTCCGCTTGGTTGCAGCAGCCTCTAAATTACAGTTTGAGGGAGAACAAAAAAATACATCCCTGAATTGCCAGCACAAAGTCTTACTCTATGCTTTCCTTCTCTTTTTAACTACCCTGCTCTTTGATAGTGTCTTCTAAAACTTTCTCAAGACATACTAACATATGGGTGTATCTTTTAAGGATGACTGGATCCTACCCTTAGATCTTCAACAATTTCTAAGTTAAAGCTTGATAGCCTTTAAGGATACTGTGCATTTAATTCAGGTTATAGATAGCCCAAGAGTATGTGCCTACAATGATATAAGCTGCTCTCTATAGTTATTTATGATTTTATGTCTTTTCTCAGGAAATGAATGACACAGTGTGAAAACAAATTGTGAAGGGGACTGGTGATGGGACATTTAGGTGAAACATGGACATTTCAATTGAAGTACAGCGTGTTAGTCAAATGTTGCCTGCTGGGCTCATTAGCAGTAACTGGATTCATTCTGTGGCCTGTATGCAGGAAATCATAGTGCAAAAACGAATGGCCTTTCTTCTCTATAGTGTGGGAATATCTAAATGTCCCAGTCCTTGGGTATTCACTTTGTTCTTTGTCATTCTAGGTTCAAGAATAACACAGAGTTGTGTACATGCTTTCATGGCACATCCATTTTCTTAAGTTCTTGGCAGAGTGACAGGAGCAGTGATTGCAGGGAAGGAACTGATTGTTTTCTTAGTTTGTGGTTTTTGTGTTGTGTTTTTTAGGTTGTTTTTCTTTTTTTAACAGAGGTGATAGCTTTAGGATGAAAAGGTTCTTGAGGTTTTGGTTGCACCTAGCCTTTTTGGGTTTTTTTTTAATAAACAAAGTGTGAATGCCTAAGCCTTCAAATAAAGGCTCTAAAAGTCCTACAATGTCTGGATGCCTGTCACTTCTGCCAAGATTATCCAGTGAAAGGTGGTACTGTAAACTGTCACAGAAGTGCAGAATTTTAGCTTTTCTCTCTGTCTGTTCCTCTCCGACTCCAGCTGGGTTTGTTTGCATACCTGCCACATGCTTGTGTTTTTCATTTTCACAATCCATGCAAACCCTAAATAATAGATGCATTCCTTTTTCAGATATCTTTATTATCCTTCTCCCAACACAACTCAACCCCATACCTCTGGTTTATGAATGCCTTTTCAGGATGCCTACTCCATGCTATATTGGTTTTATTTTCTTCCTTTTTGGTAAGCAATCCACAAGACTGCACTGTTCCAACTGAATAAGGAGTATTCTGTAATTCTGTATTACTTGAAAATATAAGAAGTGGGGTTTTTGCTACATTTTTCTTCAACTCTGCAGTTCTGTGCACTTCATCATTTGAGCTGGGTACTGTACTTCATGGGAAGCACACGTGTGAGAATAACAAGGGTTTACGAGGGAAGGAAGACACATTTAGAATGTTATTGCATCTTTTCAATTCCAAGTCAAAGGAATTCTGTATTTCCTTCATTCTTAGCTTTTATATTGGTACCAATCATCAAAGCCAAAACTAACAAGTTTTGGTGAGACATATATACACCAAGAAACTATACAGTAGTTGCTTGGTTTCTTGAAGATTATTCTAGGCTAATGTTTGAGCTTCAGTCCCCTTGCTTAGAAGAAAAACAACATCCATGTGGATGCTGATCCTTTGTCAAGCCTCTTTAATTTCAGCGTGGTTCCAGGTTAGTAAGTCTGATTTTCTCCATGGCCTCTCCTGGGGAAGGAGAGGAGCATTTTAGTGCTGGCTGTCTGGTAGGGAACTGCTGGGTGTTGGTGGGTCTTAGTAGTAGTATAATTTTCAGAGAATCAATCCACCCTTTTAACTCACAGTCATCACCAGTCAAACAAAAGCAGTTTGTTTCTAAAGTGGAATCAATAAAAGGGAAAATATATTATGGTATTATGGCTCAGCTGGGAACACATGCTTTTTACCTTTTGCTATTTTGTCTTCTGTTTAAGGATTGGTTTTCTTACCATTGGTATTCTCTTGGTTGTACATTTGGTCTGGGTGGTCTGTAATCTGCACAGAAAATACATGCTGTCAGCAGTACAAGGATAGGGTTTTTTTTTTGTTTCAGGGTTTGCTGCTAGTGTAATGTGTTATATTGATCCACTCTGGCCTCTGAAGAATTTTCCAGGTGGTAGTGAGAAAGATGGTATATCTCTTCAAGACCTTAATTTTCATGCAAAACAATATTCAACGGAGTCATAAAGCCCTAGACCTGGTAATAAAAATAGAAGCTGATACTATTAATACATCATTCCAGATACACAGGGCATCATTATGTGGCTCTTGGGTTGAGTAAAATTTCATGTAATCACAGAAACCATAGACTTAAGATCTGTAAAGTTGGAAACTTAACCAGATGGCTATTGGCAAAGCAGCTTCTAAAGACTTCAGAGCTGCAATATCTTTGGGCCCTAGATGTGACTTAGTATTAGCTTTTTAAAATACAATTACTGAACATAACTGATTCACATTATGGAAGTAATAATAATAATACTTTGCACTCAGTGACCTTTTATTTAAGGACCCAAAAGCTCTTAACCAAGACTTTTGAATACTCCTTTTCTGCTTAAAGGAAATAAAGTGTTCAGAGTCTGGAGCACCTGTGTGAGAGAATTGAGCCAGAGCAGTCCAACTCCATGGCATATTTCACGCAGTCAGTGTTTTCTGTGTGACTGGGACTGGAGAGTGCTCCCGTGGCTGTCTGTCCTTGACAGCTGGGAGGTGATATCCTAGTCACTTGGGGCAGAACCTTCTATATGGTAGTACTTTTAATCTTGAGCAGGGCCAGCCTTTGAGTGGTGTTGCTTATACATTGAAGTGCCATGTGGCAGGAATGAGAATGAGACATTATGGCGTAACCTGATATTTCCTTTATTTGCTCTGTAAACTGAGAGTATAATAATGAAATGATGCAAAGAACTGGGGATTCTGTGGCCCAGATATACCACGCTTACCCAAGGAGCTTTCGTGTGGAGTTACATATCCTAGACTACATATTCAGGACAGACAGGTTAGTACCTTCAAAGACTGGTCTTTTAAGTAATAGGTATTATAAGTAATAGGCATGTTAGGGAGAATGGTTATGTCCCTTTAAAAAGTTCCACATGTTGGCCATGGATTTATGGTGCTTTAATACTCAGCTGAAAAATCACATAATGGTATTTATCTGTAATGGGAGTAAATAACTGTATTTGACATTTGTTTTTCTATAGTCAGTAGGTATTTTTTTCTATTTTTTTTCCTCAGACTGATTTTATTGTGGATTTTAAGCTCCAAAGATCATTCCTGAGAGTTTTCTTGGTGATTCTTTTTGTTCTGTCTTTTAGGTCGATGTGATTGTGGCTTTGGGTGGACTTGGAGGACGCTTTGACCAAACAATGGCATCGGTGGAAACACTTTTTCTTGCAACAAATATCACTCCTTCTCCCGTGATAATTATCCAGGAGTGCTCACTGATTTACCTGCTTCAACCTGTAAGTGTTGTGAGAAGTTACTTTGTACTAAAACTGACTTTCCACCCACCCTGACACCGTAGGTCTTATATCATTAAATGCTCATTTTATCAGTTGTGTTCTGTAGGGTCAGAGCTGAAATATAAAATACATTGCAGGCAAGTGGACAGCAAATGATGCACTCTGAATTCCTCCTCTAGAAAAGATTACATTTAATTTGTTCATGATACATTTGTTTAAAAGGGGAGAAACAAGAAAATCAGAAAGCATGAAAACTGGATTGGGTAATTATAGACTATTGATTATAAATTGGAAAAAAAAAATAAAGTTAACCTTTTAAATTTGATTCCAGTATGTCTAAATTTAGCACACACCCCTTTTGCATGTAAAGTAGTAATTTGGATGTTTTCCATAAGATGAATAAAGAAATGATGTGAGAGGATGTTGTGAGGGAGTACCTGACATACACATCAGGCAGAGCTCCTATGCAGTCTGAATGGTGCAGTTCATTATGATGGGAATCCATCTGGCATCAATGAGGAAATTTATTTAAGATGTGTTATTTCTGTGGGTTTTCAGATCTGTTATTGCATTTATTGATTCATAAAACAACATATACAAAATATCTTGCTGATCTGCTTCTGAGATTTAAATTAAAGGTGAATCTAAACATCAAACACTGTTCTTTAACATGAATTCATTTATTTTTTTGAAAATATGTTTTCCCCTTGGCAAGATTTCTAAAAGCTTACCTAACTTTCCCAGTTTCTCTTGGAAAGCTTATTCTATTAAAATAAATAACATTCACAGATAAATTTGACACAACCTTGCACCAGATGTGCTTCAGTGTAATTTGAGAAAAGCACTAATGAAGTTCTATGAGAATATAGATTTAAAGCCACAGAGGCAGGTGCTCTATAAACAATTTGAAGCACTGTGTCTGCAAGAAAGGTAGTAGGCACAGGAGCTCTTTTGCCACTATGATGAGGAATTACTCTGATGATTAGTTGCACAGCTAAATAGATGGAGGCAGCAGAGTGAGGGGGAAAGAGAAATAAAGGAGAACTGTGGTAAAAATCTAAAAGTCATAAGTAACTTGCTTGTAATTGATTTGTGAGTGCAATACTTAGCTGACACCTGTAAATTTCCTTTAGGGTATTTTTAAGAACATGTTGAAGAGCTGAAATAAAGTGGACAATTTCCAGTTTAACGTACAAAACTCTTGCTAAGACTGGAAAGATTTATAATTATTTTCATTCATCTTTTCCATAAGTGGCTTTAAAATGCAATGCCTAAGGTTGCTTTCATGAGTCTTTACAACTTGAAAATTAATGAATAATTAAAGCCTTTACAACTTGAAAAAAACCAACATGATCTGTGCATTTAAAATAGAAATGGGAGGTTGCTAATTGTTTTTTTTTCTGGAAAGTTCTTTGTTCTATTTTTAATAATGCCATACAAAAAGCTTTTAATTTTTTTTTTTTTTTTGATGTACCAAGTTCCACAGGAAACTTCAGGCTGTTTCTAGCATACAGAAATAAGGGACAGATATAACAGCAGGCCATTTAAAAAACCTTAGTGCTAACTTTGACAAAAAATTGCTTTTCATTGTTGGTTTAAGCTTGTCACTATCGGCATCTTCAGTCAAGTGTTGTGGGTAATAGCAGATAATAACATTAATCCTGCATAGTTTTTTTTCGGTTTCAAGAGTGAGTAGTTTATAAACTGAGAGAAAGAAGGGTCCTAAGCTTGGAAGTACTCTCTCTCATTTTTTTGTTTTGTTTTGGGGTTTTTTTGGGTTGTGGTTTTTTTTTTTTTTTTTTTTTTGTGGGCGGGGTGAGGTTTGGATTTGGTTTTTTTTTTTTTTGGTTGGTTGATTTTTGTTTTTTGTTGGTTTTTTTTTTAATGGAGTTCAGCTTGATATTTTTATCTTCCAAACAGCCACAATCATGACATTCTCTCTTTTCCCTCTCTTCCCTTTGTAATTTAAAATCAAGGTAGGAGGGAGTTTAACACAGTGGGAGACCCACTGACTGTTCAAAATGCAAGTCTGGAAACTGTGCAATAAATGAAGCAAGGTTTTGAGATTCAAATGCTGATGCAAATGACAAAGTTGAGAGCATGTTGTTTTTTCTACAACTGTAGAACAGAAATGTTTCTATAAATGTGGAAGAGAAACTTTCTCTCTTGGGAAGAAGAATCTGATCTTTATTGGATAAAATATATGAGCAAAACATAATTATGGTTTTGTTTGCAAATAATGTTAGCCTTTAATTCAGTGTAGCAGGAGAGTGGTTCTATGTTGTGTGTACCTAGGCAGAATTTAAAGTATTTGGATACAGCACATAGACTGGTAATTCCTTAGGAGCCCTGGGAAGGATAACCAGGGGCATATCAAGTCAAGCTGCTGAATTTATAGTTACCACTGCAGAAACTAGGAGGAGGATAGTGTGAGTAGATATCTAAGGCCACCAAAAATCTATTAATTGTTTGAAAGAGATAGATTTCACATTGTTACAATGTTGGTGTAGGAGGTTATGGTAGAAGAAATACATCAATATTTAACACACTTGTAAAGGATCCACAGTGTTGCAAAAAACTTACTAAAAGTTTTCAGGGTTGGAAGAGGAAGACAGCAAGGACAATGCCTGATCTGGGATCCAGTGCAGACTACCAGGCAAAGTGGATCAGGTAAACAAAGCCTTTTTTCATCAGTCATTAGCATTATCCAAGTACTGAATGTAAGAGTAATGAGAACTTTGAGTATTGAGGCATTTCTTGGGAAATAGATAGACAGTGCAAGTTTTTGAAATATATAGATAAAAATGTTTTAGCATGAAAGCAAAAAAAACTAGAAGGAAGTAAACTCTTATGTTTATTTCTGACCTTTAAGGATGAGCTCCTGCAAGGAAATGAGAAAAAAGATGGGAATAATTGCATACCATAAATACCTGTCTCCATGATCTCTATGGAGAAACTGGGTGGGAGGCTGAAATATAGACTGTAAGTATGTAAATTTAGATAAATTAATTCCAATATATGTCAAACCACTAAAAAAATATTGAAGAAAGCAGGCATGAAATGAGTTGCACCTATGGAAGGGCCCACACAATGAGAGCATAGTTTGTAGCTACAGAATTTATAAATTGACAGTGAAAGATTTTCTTTTGTCTGAATGGGAAAGGAAAACATATGACAAGCAGCCTAATTGAGCACATTTGCTCAGTCTTCACTAAAGCAAAATATTCCTTTGAACAGATAACCAATACAGTTAAAATCGGTGCCGAAGTCTGAGGAATTTAAATTGCTTCAGAGAAAAAGCAAATAAAAGATTGAGCTGCCTTTGATTCTGCCAACTCCAAGGGCTGTTACTTTTTTGTATGCCATGCAACACTAATTAGGGTAGGAGTCAGAAATAGGGAAACTTTGCAAGAATTCCAGGATGTGATGCTTGTTATGAAGCATTTTTTTATCTGATGATTGGAGTTTGAAAAAAAAGAAAAAAAATGTACCTGTGTACTAAATACATGTCATATTTCATCTGTAGTGAAGGAGGGAGGAAAACTTGAATTTTTAATAAGGAGTAATGAGTCTTTATAAGCAGGATATTTTATGCAAGAGTTCATACATTTTATGTTAGAAATTTGGTAATATCAATTACCATTAGACTATACCCTGGCTGAAGAGCATAATTCCCTTAGAGTCATGTTTATCATGCTAGCCATGCTCAATATGAATGGCTTAAGGTTTCACATACATACTTTCTCATTTTCTGGTTGTGTGCTTCTCAGGAGTACAGAAACATTAGCTTCTGTACACTGAGCATAAATTATCTTTTATCTGTGAATTTTATGGCAGTTTGTAATACAAGGTAATAGGATTTATGACCAAGAAATGAGAAGATGTCCAAGAGTTAATGAGGCCTGTCTTTTACATATACTGAGCAGTTCAGTTTTCCCCACACAGGATTCCAGCCCTAGGATGTAGAGGAGAATTGCTGCCTGCACATGAAAATGCATTACAGCAGCATATTTTTGTCAGTTAACTAACTCTTTTGAAAGAGTGTGTGAATACTTTGATAACCCTTTTTCTTGCACTCAGCTTCTCTTGTGAGTGCATGCCTGCCTTCCCTGTGAGAAATTATTAATAATTTAACATCATAGTAGTGGCCCAGGAGCTAAATGTGAGTAATAAGAATCGAGAATTCTATCCCTTTTTCTTGGCTCTTTACCATAATTTCCTTGAAGAGAAGTACATTGTCTTTTGATCCCACAGTCTCCTAGATTGTAAATGAGATAAAAACCATGTCCTTCTCTGAATGGGTGCTGTGAGGCTCGTTTGGTTATTTACAAAATGCCATTACATCCTCTGCTCTGCACTGGGGTGGAACATAGTATCACAGTAATAGTAACAACAGGATTAGCAAGGCCCTTAATTAACATAAATATTGCCATCCAGGAAGCTGTGCAGATAATTAGTTAGCATGGTCCCGAGCACAGTTTCAGAGGGAGCCAGCCATCCTTCTCGCAGGTGGCGTCTGGGCACGCTCCGGGTTTAGCAAGGCCAGGAGCTGCTTCCCAAAGGTTTGCAAGGGACCGACTTGTCGTGGGGCCAAGAGGGAACTGCCACATGCACGTGAGCACTGCTGTGCTGGCTGGCTTGAGTTCCAGAGCTGTTACCTGAACCGATTTACAGGTGCAGACAGAGTGACTTGGCACGAAGACGTGCTCCTAGATGGAGACACTGCAGCAGATATGAGAGAATGTACAAAGACTGGAAACTGCTGGGCTTTGTTGCTACAATTCTCTGTGCTAATATTATTTGATTTGGTTTGTGTCCATGCTTGTAAAGTTTAATGGGAAGTTTAGGGTATGTACCTTCAGATTGCGAGTTTTCTCTGGCAGTAAGATCTTGAAATTTGCAAGAACGTCAAGAATGATTTACCCAATCAGTTCTGTACTGCCTCATGTGTGTAAGAAGCAGATCTGGCTTGCACACATTGAAGAAAATCCTTAATGAAT